ATATAATTATATTAGGTTTATATTATATATATATGTGTGTATATATATATATATATATATATATATATATATATATATATATATATATATATATATATATATATATATATACACACATATATATATCTTATATAATAATAATAAATATAATTTTTTTTTTTCCTCACTGGTAGTACAACATAATCATCAGTTGCTGATTATAAACATATATATGTGTGTGTGTGTGTGTGTGTGTGTAATATATTAAAAACAAGAAAATAGGCAGACATTTGCTGATATCGGCTGAGGAGTTAACCAAAATTACACAAAGGTTTGTCTACGAAACTCTGGATTTGAGTTGCTGAATATTCCTCAATCAGCTAATTGACAAATTTTGTATTTGTATTAATTATATATATATATATATATATATATATATATATAGATATTGTTATGTAAGAATACAGTGTCACTGCTGATGCTGGAGTTTGAACACAGATCACCAGAGAGCAAACACAGGTGATCTCATTTTGAATAAGTAGATCATGTGATGATAAAGGAAATGTATATATAGGAATTAGCATGGCGTCTGAGGGATCACTATATGGATTACTATTCAGATCACTACTTGGTGGTTACTTTTCGAGTGAGTATTATCAAGCAAGTACTATTAGTGCAAGTGTTATTCGAAGGCGTTTGACACTAGTATTGTACAATGGCTTTACACTCCTCACCTCCACACTACAGCCAACAGATTAATTCAATATAAGGATTTTATCTAATTCTTCCTATGAGCAATCAGGTCTTATTGCTTTCTGTGTGATTTTAATATGTCGTTTGACCGAGCTATTGCCCCCAACCGAACCCACTCACCTAAGCAGGACTTGCACAAGGGTTATCGACAATGCACACAATATCTTGGAGGTTTTTAAGAGTACAAAAATGAATATAGTTTTTTGATTTCTTCAAAAAATTAGTTTGGATTGTTGATAATTGCTTGATTTTTTTTTTTTTTTTTTTTTTTAAATGAATGTGAAAAAAAAAAGTTTATATAACTCCTAAGGTTGGAGTGTGACAGGAATTAAGTTGTTTCAGAAATAACCAGAAGCTGTTTGACCCCCCACTCTTTTAATAGTGACCCATTGTAAATGTTTGACATACCTGATTTTTAAACATTACAGGTAGGCAGACATGAGTGGGTGTCAAGGACTCAACTAAGGTATGTAAATAATAGATGTATTGTGGTTTGGGGTCGAGTACTGTCTTTCTTCTTTTTTTATTTATTTTTTTATTTATTTATTCTGGACCCACAACATTCATTTGCAAATTCTAATGAATCTTCCAAAATAGACTTTCCATTGCAAAAGAAGTCAGTCTATGTAAATGGGAATAAATAGATTTATAGTCAGAACTGAAAAAGATAACATGTTTATTACATTGAAAAATACCCCTTTATTGTGTGTCTACTGATTTTCTGAACGGCCATTGGAGAAAGTCTGAATAAGAACAGATTGTTTTTTTTTAGGCAAAAAGGGTGAGAAACGTCATGAAAAAAAAAAAGAAAGTCATTTGCAGAGGGGAAAAGAAAAAACAGAGAATATTTTCTCTTTATGAAAGAGAAATACAAAGAACACTTATTGAGAAGCAGGGCAAGAGAGGAAAAAGGTGTATGTTTGAGTGTAACAAAAAAAGGATGTATTAATTATATATGGGAAAGAGAGAGAGAGAAGTTAAAAAAAGAATGGAGAGGGTGGTCTGCTTTTAATAAGGTAATTTTTATCTTATCTTATATTGCAATAATACTTTCAACAATTTTTGTTTTTCCCTAAGTTGTTGAGAAAGAAAGAGAGAAAAAAGTTGAATATTTTTATTACGAAGAAATCAGTTGCTGTCAGAATTAAAATTTTACTATCACCTTGCGGACAGACAAGTGCTAACTTTAATTTTGCGCCAAGTTAAAATGTTTTGGAGTGATATTTTTTTTTGTGATAACGAAAAGGACTTCTTTATTCTAAACTTGTTTCTCGTCTGACTAGCTTCTAATCATTTTGATGATAAAGAAATTGAGTGTGATACTAATTTCCCTGACAAATTGGTTGATAACTTTTGTCAGAGTGTATATGTATATGCGAAAACATAGATAATATACATATCAATTCTCATACGCACACATATAAATATACACTATGAGAAACGGAGCATATATTTATATATGATGAGATCCTAGGAAGGTCT